GGCTGCAAATGAATAAACATGCATTGATATTCATTATAAATAATCAAATATTCATTTCCGAATGAAACCATGCTCATAATTATCCTTAAGGCCTATATGTTGGAGTTCAGGATTTATTTGAAATGTGTAAGTAGGAAATTGTATGAATTTTGACCATTACAGAGTAGGATGCCAAGTCTTAAAAAAGGCTTTATAGTCAATCGTATTTCATGGCTTTTAGAAAGAGCTCACAGCTGTCCCCCAGTGTTCATTACGAAGATGACATGTTAGGGAAGCAGTAGAGACCAAATTGAAGTGTCTTGAGTTTTGCTTGCATGGTTCACAATATTGTAATGATAGGGGGGTGACTGGGATAGGAAATGTAACATCATACCGTTTTTAGGAAAAGTTTTTGTACAACATGCAACTTACATGGGATCATCTTGAAAAGTTATCTGTACAGGTAACTTTCATCAAGGTTTTATATGGTCTATAATTTAAGAGTTTATTTCCAAAACACTATATATACATTTTCAGAAATGTTGGTAAATTAGTTTTTATTGTTTTAAGAAATTATGAAAGCGATTGTTGTGTTTTTACATGGCATGGGGTAGTTCAATGACAGACATGTATTTGTTTAAAATCTATCACTTGATGGTTTCAGTTTTTTTTTTTGCTAAACGCTATATATCCACCTCACTCTCAGAGAAATAAGTAGTACTGCTAGGTTTTACACAAAATGTAACAAATAACTACATTTTTAATAAAGAACTGTTTAATGAAACATTTGTGACATCAATATACAGATTACACTAACGGTCAAAAGTTTTAGAACACCTACTCATTCAAGGGTTTTTCTTTATTTTACTATTTTCTACATTGTAGAATATAGTAAAGACATCAAAACTATGAAATAACACATATGGAATCATGTAGTAACCAAAAATTCTAAATATATTTGATATTTGATATTCTTCAAATAGCCACCCTTCGCCTTGATGACAGCTTTGCACACTCTTGGCATTCTCTCAACCAGCTTCATGAGGTAGTCACCTGGAATACGTTTCAAGTAATAGATGTGCTTTCTTAAAAGTTAATTTGTGGAAATTCTTTCCTTATTAATGCGTTTGAGCCAATCAGTTGTGTTGTGACACGGTAGGGGGGGTATACAGAAAATAGCCCTAAGTCCATATTATGGCAAGAACAGCTCAAATAAGCAAAGAGAAACGACAGTCCATCATTACTTTAAGACATGAAGGTCAGTCAATACGAAACATTTCAAGAACTTCAAACGTTTCTTCAAGTGCAGTCGCAAAAACCATCAAGCGCTATGATGAAACTGACTCTCATGAGGACTGCCACAGGAATGGAAGACCCAGAGTTACCTCTGCTGCAGAGGGTAAGTTCATTAGAGTTACCCGCCTCAGAAATTGCAGCCCAAATAAATCATTTTCAGAGTTCAAGTAACAGATGTTACAGGAGGGGGTCGCAGTTCCGGAGTGACCCACTAGGTGTCAACCTCCGACAACCTTAGGCACCTCCTCACTCACAGTCTGGACTAATCATTATCCTATTGGTGTCACCTGTGTCTACCTGTTAACCTGTGTATTTATGCCCTCACTTCCCTGTGTTCCCTTGCTCTGTTTTCTCTGCTAGTTTCTCGATGCCAAACAGTACTAATCAGTGTCTGATCGCGAGATGTATGTACAGGTACTTGAGAAGTGTTCTCCTTGTTTCATTGTTGTTTTCAGTCATAGTTAGTATTTCGTATGTTTGCTGTCAGCCTGTTTTTGGACATTTGCTCCTCCTTTATTTTATCATGACCAGTCCGTTATTTTGTATCCTATACTTGTTTCACCATCTCTGCCTACTGCCTACTGTCTATCCTGCACCGCACCTGGGTCACACCTCACACCAACCGTTACAAACAGATACATCTTAACATCAACTGTTCACAGGAGACTGTGTGAATCAGGCCTTCATGGTCAAATTGCTGCAAAGTAACCACTACTAAAGGACACCAATAAGAAGAAGAGGCTTGCTTGGGCCAAGAAACATGAGCAAAGGATATTAGACCGGTGGAAAGTTGTCCTTTGGTCTGGAGTCCAAATTTGAGATTTTTGGTTCCAACCGCCGTGTCTTTGTGAGATGCGTGTGGGTGAACGGATGATCTCTGCATGTGTATTTCCCACCGTAAAGCATGGAGGAGGAGATGTTATGGTTTGGGGGTGCTTTGCTGGTGACACTGTCTGTGATTTATTTAGAATTCAAGGCACACTTAACCAGCATGGCTACCACAGCATTCTGCAGCACTACGCCATCCCATCTGGTTTGGGCTTAGTGGGACTATCATTTGTTTTCCAAAAGGACAATGATCCAACACACCTCCATGCTGTGTAAGGGCTATTTTACCAAGAAGGAGAGTGATGGAGTGCTGCATCAGATGACCTGGCCTCCACAATCCCCCGACCTCAACCAAATTGAGATGGTTTGGAATGAGTCAGACCGCAGAGTGAAGGAAAAGCAGCCAAAAAGTGCTCAGCATATGTAATAACTCTTTAAAGACTTTTGGAAAAGTATTCCAGGTGAAGCTGGTTAAGAGAATACCAATAGTGTGCAAAGCTGTCATCAAGGCAAATGGTGGCTATTTGAAGAATTTCAAATATAAAATATGTTTTGACTTGTTTAACACTTTTTTGGTTACTACATGATTCCATATGTGTTATCTCATAGTTTTGATGTCTTCACTATTATTCTACAATGTAGAAAATAGTAAAAATAAAGAAAAACCCTTGAATGGGTAGGTGTTCTAAAAGTTTTGACCGGTAGTGTATATTTTTCTATAATTATTAAACACAGTAGTATGAGATCTGTATGTAAAATATTTACATTTGACATTATAGTCATTTAGATGCTCTTATCCAGATCGACTTAGACTTCCATTCCATTCCAGCTAAACAATGGATATACAGTATAGTATAATGCTTAGCAAAAAAACAAAACATATTTTAATTCACATCTAAAATGTTTGAATAAAAAATGTGAGAACAGTAATATTTTACACACACATGAAGGTACCCGTAAGCAATCATTTCTGATGAAAAAACACAAATGTGAAAAATTGGTGGACGTAGCGTTTTGAAAATAAACTCTTCAATTGGTTTCTCTCTTTTCATTGTCAGTATCCTTTTCTAGCGTTATGATATCCATAACAATCATAACGGTGGTGGATGTGATGGATAATAATGGATCATATGTTAGCTTCAGAAGCGTGTGCATTCACCACATTTATTGTGCTTGTTCTCCGATGTATTCTTTAGACTTTTACTGAAGCTATTGTTGATTTATGATGAAATGCATTTCTCATACATGGCAGTACTATTTTCAGATAGATAGATGAGAACAGTATTCATCAACAATGTGAATAGTCCTGGAGTGTTTTTGTTTCTTCTCATCCAGTGTCCAGAAAAGTGGACTGGCAGTATAGGCACATGTATATTATCTCATTTGCATATTTTGGACAATTGTAATACAAAAAAATGGTACTACATTAAAAATATATATATTTGTGTCTACATTCAACTGATAGAGGTTCATTTTGATATCTATAAAGATTTTTTATAATGACCTATTAAGGTGTGGTGCGTACTATACTATTCAGGCTACCTGTAATTATGTAATCCTAAGGTACTATGCCTTGTGCTGACATTTTTAAAACATTCCAAATTAAAACAATTGTGTTCTGATAGATTTTGATCAAGACATATTTAAGATTTGAATGTCTATTTCAGACTCTAACGTCCGTAACGGAGGTTGAAACATTGGTAACGGTCGTTTTTGCTTTCTAAAGTAAGAATGGAAATGACAATCTTTTTAAAATAATTATTTTTGTGTTCAGCCAAGCCTTTCCTTCGAAAACTCACAGACATTTGCTTACAAACTCACAGACATTTGCTAATATTTTCACCCCACAAAGCTTGTCCATTTCATGCAACATTGACAACTCTACTAATTTGCTTGATTACTCAACATGCCAATATTTAGAAGTCCGCTTTTTGGGGGTATACACCTCCCACCAAGAGGTATTATAGACACACAAATCAAAAGTTTTCATTTCCATTTTGTTTGTCATTCTGTGAGATGAAAGTTGAAATTTTGAGTGCAAATGTAATGTCATAATGCTGTGGCGCCCATAATAACATTACATCATTAGTCATTTAGCAGAGCTATTATAGAACGAAATCAAATAGGTGTTTCAATTGCCAGGGGAACAAAATCTTTTTGTTTTTTTTCCTTATGTAGAGGATGACTATCATATCCAGTATCCTTAAGTGGGGGGTTTAAATGTTCCGGAAGGTGGTGAGTACTCCCCTGTCCCGGGTCGTGAGGAATAACGAAGAATACCTATTTTAGTAATGTGCCTTAAAACATTAAATTGAAATTTTTTCCCTCTGCATGGGGGAAAAAAGTTATGGGAAGGGCAAAGATCCTTTGGGACTTGAAAAAGGTCTTCGCATTGGGGCCGGAATCACAATCTTGGCTCCATTGTTTACCCCAGGGAAACAAATAGCCTCTCCCCTGCCTCGCCAGTTCATGCTAGATCTTTGGGGAACTTTCCCAAATAGGCATTGGCTTTTTCCTCCTGTGAATTTTGTTTTTATATAAATGAAGTTTCTAGCAAACAAAACAAATTTGAGAATTACAGATGCATCCGTGGGATGATAGAAGGTTACTTACAGCCTCCTCTGCATTTTCTCTTGTAGGATTTGACCTTCAGCTCCCAGTTTGTCCACCAGGTCCTGCAGGCAGCTCAGATTTTACGGTCTCCTCAGTCTGCACTCAAAAAGAAGGGAAACAACATTATATGTATCTTACATTTGATTCTGAGCATTAATTGTGCCCTGTCAAATTAAAGTATATAATGTACCTGGTAGGTGAGCTCCTTGATATTCACAGACTCCTTTCACAGAATCACTGCTCCTCCTTTGCTCCATTTCCACTTCACTCTCTAGCTCTCTCACCTAGAAAGATATGATTGATGTTAATATCATGGCAGTATCAGTAATGGCCTTCTTGGCCTTTTCCTCAGCATTTCTGCACTCCTGCACAGCCTCCTCCACTTCATTCTGAAGTTGGGATGTGTCTCCCTCTAGCTTCTTCTTCTGTCTCAACAGGCTGGTGTTCTACACATATGACAAATTACTTTTAATATGACCTCTACATACCTCAGGTAGCAGATACTGTATTTAATTGTTATCTATAGAGCTCGCCAGTTTGTAGTCCTAAAAAACGGAAATGAGTTACCTGTGGTCCTCTGTAGCTCAGCTGGTAGAGCACGGCGCTTGTAACGCCAAGGTAGTGGGTTCGATCCCCGGGACCACCCATACACAAAAAAATGTATGCACGCATGACTGTAAGTCGCTTTGGATAAAAGCGTCTGCTAAATGGAATATTATTATTATTATTATTATTGGTTCGTTCAGCCATTCCTATGGGCGAAATGAATGGGAAGATATTGGGGTTTGGGATAGCTGAAAATAAGGTCTGAGGTTAAGACAGGTTTAGGAGATCTTATATGTTTTGTTCCATGAGATAATATCAGTTGGTTAACCTGCCCTTTATGAATTATGAAGCCTTTATGTGCTTTATGTATTTTTTTTGATTACATAAATGCTTAATAAGTCACAAAAGGTGACGTTAGCTGATGAAGATTATCTCAGAGAACAAAACGTATAAGATCTCCTAAGCCTGTGTTTACTACAGACCTTATTTTGCCGTTTATCCAAAAACACTCCAAAAAAAACATTACTTTTCCCATAGGCTTTGGCCAACGAGCCATGACGGAGTTAGTGGCTACAAAAAGATGACTTTACTATTGTGGTCCTCTGTAGCTCAGCTGGTAGAGCACGGCGCTTGTAACGCCAAGGTATTGGGTTCGATCCCCGGGACCACCCATACACAAAAATGTATGCACGCTTTGGATAATACACAAAAATGTATGTAAGTCGCTTTGGATAAAAGCGTCTGCTAAATGGCTTATTATTATTATTATTGCTCCTCTCTATTACTGTCTCACCTCTCTGGCCAAATCTGCCCTTTGTTTCACCACCTTGGCTTGAGCAGCTCTCTCAGCCTCTACCTCTTGAGTTTTGCTTGCATGGTTCACAATATTGTAATGATAGGGGGGTGACTGGGATAGGAAATGTAACATCATACCGTTTTTAGGAAAAGTTTTTGTACAACATGCAACTTACATGGGATCATCTTGAAAAGTTATCTGTACAGGTAACTTTCATCAAGGTTTTAAATGGTCTATAATTTAAGAGTTTATTTCAAAACACTATATATAAATTTTCAGAAATGTTGGTAAATTAGTTTTTATTGTTTTAAGAAATTATGAAAGCGATTGTTGTGTTTTTACATGGCATGGGGTAGTTCAATGACAGACATGTATTTGTTTAAAATCTATCACTTGATGGTTTCAGTTTTTTTTTTGCTAAACGCTATATATCCACCTCACTCTCAGAGAAATAAGTAGTACTGCTAGGTTTTACACAAAATGTAACAAATAACTACATTTTTAATAAAGAACTGTTTAATGAAACATTTGTGACATCAATATACTGTCAAGAGTTGCTGTAGGTAGGTGTGGTGTGGAATCAGGCGCAGGACGCAGAAATTAAGTTCAACAAAGACTTTAGTAGATCACACAAAATATAATCCAAAAACAGCCCGGAGGCGAGAAAAGCGTGCACAGGCGTAAACAAACGGGCGCACTAAACATGTGCGTAATCTTCTCCTTAAAACAAACAAGGAGGTAAGCTACAAAATAGCGCACCAAAACAGGTAGCGCAGCAACACGACAAGGAACAATTACACACAACACCTAAACTAACAACAAGGAACTAAATAGGGTGCTTAATGAGACATAACACAAAACAGGTGTGACAAACAGACAAAACCAATCAAACAAGAAACATAGAACGGTGGCAGCTAGTACTCCGGAGACGACGACCGCCGAAACCTGCCCGAACAAGGAGGAGGGGCCGCCTCGGCCGAAACCGTGACAGTACCCCCCCCTTGACGCGCGGCTCCAGCCGTGCGCCGCCCCCGGCCTCGGGGACGACCAGGAGGACGCGGAGCAGGGCGCGTAGGATGACCACGATGGAATTCGGTCAGCAGGGACGGATCCAGAATGTCCCTCCTCGGCACCCAGCACCGCTCCTCCGGACCGTACCCCTCCCACTCCACAAGATATTGGAGACCCCCCATCCGGCGTCTCGAATCCAGGATGGTCCGAACAGTGTACGCCGGAGCCCCCTCGATGTCCAATGGGGGCGGAGGAGTCTCCTCTATCTCAAAATCCTGGAGTGGACCAGCTACCACTGGCCTGAGGAGAGACACATGGAACGAGGGGTTAATATTCTTGTAATCAATGGGCAGTTGTAACCTGTAACACACCTCGTTCAATCTCCTCAGGACTTTAAAAGGCCCCACAAACCGCCGACCCAGCTTCCGGCAGGGCAGGCGGAGGGGCAGGTTTCTGGTTGAGAGCCAGACTCGATCTCCAGGTGCGTACACTGGCCCCTCACTGCGGTGTAGGTCGGTGCTCGTCTTCTGTCGACGGATGGCTCGCTGCAGATGGACGTGTGCAGCGTTCCACGTCTCCTCCGAGCGTCGCACCCACTCATCCACAGCAGGGGCCTCGATCTGGCTCTCATGCCAAGGTGCCAGAACCGGCTGGTACCCTAACACACACTGGAAAGGGGTTAGTCTAGTGGAGGAGTGGCGGAGAGAGTTCTGTGCCATCTCGGCCCAGGGCACATATCTCGCCCACTCCTCCGGCCGGCCCTGACAATATGACCTCAGAAACCTACCCACATCCTGGTTGACTCGTTCGACCTGCCCATTACTCTCCGGGTGGTAACCCGAGGTAAGGCTCACCGAGACCCCCAACCGTTCCATAAAGGCTCTCCAGACTCTGGAGGTAAACTGGGGGCCTCGATCGGACACTATATCCTCGGGTACCCCGTAATGCCGGAAGACGTGAGTAAATAGAGCCTCAGCGGTCTGTAGGGCAGTAGGAAGACCCGGCATGGGAAGGAGACGACAGGCCTTCGAGAACCGATCCACAACGACCAGGATGGTGGTATTCCCTTGTGAGGAGGGAAGGTCGGTAACAAAATCCACCGAGAGGTGAGACCAGGGTCGTTGTGGAACGGGCAGGGGTTGTAATTTACCCCTGGGCAAGTGTCTGGGCGCCTTACACTGGGCACACACTGAGCAGGAGGAGACATAAACCCTCACATCCCTGGCTAACGTTGGCCACCAGTATTTTGTACTAAGGCAGTGCACTGTCCGGCCAATACCTGGATGTCCAGAGGAGGGTGACGTGTGAGCCCAATAAATCAGCCGATCCCGGACCTCGAGCGGGACGTACGTCCGACCCACCGGACACTGTGGAGGGCTAGGGTCGGTGCGTAATGCCCGCTCGATCTCCGCATCGACCTCCCACACCACCGGTGCCACCAGACAAGACTCCGGTAGTATGGGAATGGACTCCACGCACCTCTCCTCCGTGTCATACCGCCGAGACAGGGCATCTGCTTTCCCGTTCTGGGACCCAGGGATGTAAGTGATCTTGAACACAAACCGGGCGAGAAACATAGTCCATCGAGCCTGGTGAGGATTCAGTCTCCTAGCTGCCCGAATGTATTCCAGGTTTCGGCGGGTGTGTAATTCTGTCAAGAGTTGCTGTAGGTAGGTGTGGTGTGGAATCAGGCGCAGGACGCAGAAGTTAAGTCCAACAAAGACTTTAGTAGATCACACAAAATATAATCCAAAAACAGCCCGGAGGCGAGAAAAGCGCGCACAGGCGTAAACAAACGGGCGCACTAAACATGTGCGTAATCTTCTCCTTAAAACAAACAAGGAGGTAAGCTACAAAATAGCGCACCAAAACAGGTAGCGCACCAAAACAGGTAGCGCAGCAACACGACAAGGAACAATTACACACAACACCTAAACTAACAACAAGGAACTAAATAGGGTGCTTAATGAGACATAACACAAAACAGGTGTGACAAACAGACAAAACCAATCAAACAAGAAACATAGAACGGTGGCAGCTAGTACTCCGGAGACGACGACCGCCGAAACCTGCCCGAACAAGGAGGAGGGGCCGCCTCGGCCGAAACCGTGACATATACAGGTTACACTAACGGTCAAAAGTTTTAGAACACCTACTCATTCAAGGGTTTTTCTTTATTTTACTATTTTCTACATTGTAGAATATAGTAAAGACATCAAAACTATGAAATAACACATATGGAATCATGTAGTAACCAAAAAATCTAAATATATTTGATATTTGATATTCTTCAAATAGCCACCCTTCGCCTTGATGACAGCTTTGCACACTCTTGGCATTCTCTCAACCAGCTTCATGAGGTAGTCACCTGGAATACGTTTCAAGTAATAGATGTGCTTTCTTAAAAGTTAATTTGTGGAAATTCTTTCCTTATTAATGCGTTTGAGCCAATCAGTTGTGTTGTGACACGGTAGGGGGGGTATACAGAAAATAGCCATGTCCATATTATGGCAAGAACAGCTCAAATAAGCAAAGAGAAACGACAGTCCATCATTACTTTAAGACATGAAGGTCAGTCAATACGAAACATTTCAAGAACTTCAAACGTTTCTTCAAGTGCAGTCGCAAAAACCATCAAGCGCTATGATGAAACTCATGAGGACTGCCACAGGAATGGAAGACCCAGAGTTACCTCTGCTGCAGATGGTAAGTTCATTAGAGTTACCCGCCTCAGAAATTGCAGCCCAAATAAATCATTTTCAGAGTTCAAGTAACAGATGTTACAGGAGGGGGTCGCAGTTCCGGAGTGACCCACTAGGTGTCAACCTCCGACAACCTTAGGCACCTCCTCACTCACAGTCTGGACTAATCATTATCCTATTGGTGTCACCTGTGTCTACCTGTTAACCTGTGTATTTATGCCCTCACTTCCCTGTGTTCCCTTGCTCTGTTTTCTCTGCTAGTTTCTCGATGCCAAACAGTACTAATCAGTGTCTGATCGCGAGATGTATGTACAGGTACTTGAGAAGTGTTCTCCTTGTTTCATTGTTGTTTTCAGTCATAGTTAGTATTTCGTATGTTTGCTGTCAGCCTGTTTTTGGACATTTGCTCCTCCTTTATTTTATCATGACCAGTCCGTTATTTTGTATCCTATACTTGTTTCACCATCTCTGCCTACTGCCTACTGTCTATCCTGCACCGCACCTGGGTCACACCTCACACCAACCGTTACAAACAGATACATCTTAACATCAACTGTTCACAGGAGACTGTGTGAATCAGGCCTTCATGGTCAAATTGCTGCAAAGTAACCACTACTAAAGGACACCAATAAGAAGAAGAGGCTTGCTTGGGCCAAGAAACATGAGCAAAGGATATTAGACCGGTGGAAAGTTGTCCTTTGGTCTGGAGTCCAAATTTGAGATTTTTGGTTCCAACCGCCGTGTCTTTGTGAGATGCGTGTGGGTGAACGGATGATCTCTGCATGTGTATTTCCCACCGTAAAGCATGGAGGAGGAGATGTTATGGTTTGGGGGTGCTTTGCTGGTGACACTGTCTGTGATTTATTTAGAATTCAAGGCACACTTAACCAGCATGGCTACCACAGCATTCTGCAGCACTACGCCATCCCATCTGGTTTGGGCTTAGTGGGACTATCATTTGTTTTCCAAAAGGACAATGATCCAACACACCTCCATGCTGTGTAAGGGCTATTTTACCAAGAAGGAGAGTGATGGAGTGCTGCATCAGATGACCTGGCCTCCACAATCCCCCGACCTCAACCAAATTGAGATGGTTTGGGATGAGTCAGACCGCAGAGTGAAGGAAAAGCAGCCAAAAAGTGCTCAGCATATGTAATAACTCTTTAAAGACTTTTGGAAAAGTATTCCAGGTGAAGCTGGTTAAGAGAATACCAATAGTGTGCAAAGCTGTCATCAAGGCAAATGGTGGCTATTTGAAGAATTTCAAATATAAAATATGTTTTGACTTGTTTAACACTTTTTTGGTTACTACATGATTCCATATGTGTTATTTCATAGTTTTGATGTCTTCACTATTATTCTACAATGTAGAAAATAGTAAAAATAAAGAAAAACCCTTGAATGGGTAGGTGTTCTAAAAGTTTTGACCGGTAGTGTATATTTTTCTATAATTATTAAACACAGTAGTATGAGATCTGTATGTAAAATATTTACATTTGACATTATAGTCATTTAGATGCTCTTATCCAGATCGACTTAGACTTCCATTCCATTCCAGCTAAACAATGGATATACAGTATAGTATAATGCTTAGCAAAAAAACAAAACATATTTTAATTCACATCTAAAATGTTTGAATTAAAAATGTGAGAACAGTAATATTTTACACACACATGAAGGTACCCGTAAGCAATCATTTCTGATGAAAAAACACAAATGTGAAAAATTGGTGGACGTAGCGTTTTGAAAATAAACTCTTCAATTGGTTTCTCTCTTTTCATTGTCAGTATCCTTTTCTAGCGTTATGATATCCATAACAATCATAACGGTGGTGGATGTGATGGATAATAATGGATCATATGTTAGCTTCAGAAGCGTGTACATTCACCACATTTATTGTGCTTGTTCTCCGATGTATTCTTTAGACTTTTACTGAAGCTATTGTTGATTTATGATGAAATGCATTTCTCATACATGGCAGTACTATTTTCAGATAGATAGATGAGAACAGTATTCATCAACAATGTGAATAGTCCTGGAGTGTTTTTGTTTCTTCTCATCCAGTGTCCAGAAAAGTGGACTGGCAGTATAGGCACATGTATATTATCTCATTTGCATATTTTGGACAATTGTAATACAAAAAAATGGTACTACATTAAAAATATATATATTTGTGTCTACATTCAACTGATAGAGGTTCATTTTGATATCTATAAAGATTTTTTATAATGACCTATTAGGGTGTGGTGCGTACTATACTATTCAGGCTACCTGTAATTATGTAATCCTAAGGTACTATGCCTTGTGCTGACATTTTTAAAACATTCCAAATTAAAACAATTGTGTTCTGATAGATTTTGATCAAGACATATTTAAGATTTGAATGTCTATTTCAGACTCTAACGTCCGTAACGGAGGTTGAAACATTGGTAACGGTCGTTTTTGCTTTCTAAAGTAAGAATGGAAATGACAATCTTTTTAAAATAATTATTTTTGTGTTCAGCCAAGCCTTTCCTTCGAAACTCACAGACATTTGCTTACAAACTCACAGACATTTGCTAATATTTTCACCCCACAAAGCTTGTCCATTTCATGCAACATCGACAACTCTACTAATTTGCTTGATTACTCCAACATGCCAATATTTAGAAGTCCGCTTTTTGGGGTATACACTCCCACCAAGAGGTATTATAGACACACAAATCAAAAGTTTCATTTCCATTTTTGTTTTTGTCCATTCTGTGAGATGAAAGTTGAAATTTTGAGTGCAAATGTAATGTCCATAATGCTGTAAGCGCCCATATATAACGATATGAATAGCTATTTTATGTAATGTGCCTTAAAGCTATTCAAAGTTGAAACTTTTGCCATCTGCATGGGGACACAAAAGTTCATGGGAAGTCTGCAAATGATCCTTTAGGGCACTTGAAAAAGTGTCTTTACTGACATTGGAGCCGGAATCACAACTCTTGGCTCTCATCTTGTTGACCTGAGACTCAGCAATATCAGCCCTCTCCTCTGCCTCGTCCAGTTCATGCTAGATCTTGCGGAACTTACCCAAATAGGCATTGGCTTGTTCCTCCTGTGAATTTGTTTTTATATAAATGAAGTTTCTAGCAAACAAAACAATTTGAGAATTACAGATGCATCCGTGGGATGATAAAAGGTTACTTACAGCCTCCTCTGCAGTTCTCTTGTAGGATTTGACCTTCAGCTGCAGTTTGTCCACCAGGTCCTGCAGGCAGCTCAGATTTTTACGGTCTTCCTCAGTCTGCACTCAAAAAGAAGGGAAACAACATTATATGTATCTTACATTTGATTCTGAGCATTAATTGTGCCCTGTCAAATTAAAGTATTTAATGTACCTGGTAGGTGAGCTCCTTGATATTCACAGACTCCTTTCACAGAATCACTGCTCCTCCTTTGCTCCATTTCCACTTCACTCTCTAGCTCTCTCACCTAGAAAGATATGATTGATGTTAATATCATGGCAGCATCAGTAATGGCCTTCTTGGCCTTTTCCTCAGCATTTCTGCACTCCTGCACAGCCTCTTCCACTTCATTCTGAAGTTGGGATGTGTCGCCCTCTAGCTTCTTCTTCTGTCTCAACAGGCTGGTGTTCTACACATGTGACAAATTACTTTTAATATGACCTCTACATACCTCAGGTAGCAGATACTGTATTTAATTGTTATCTATAGAGCTCGCCAGTTTGTAGTCCTAAAAAACGGAAATGAGTTACCTCTGGTTCGTTCAGCCATTCCTATGGGCGAAATGAATGGGAAGATATTGGGGTTTGGGATAGCTGAAAATAAGGTCTGAGGTTAAGACAGGTTTAGGAGATCTTATATGTTTTGTTCCATGAGATAATATCAGTCGGTTAACCTGCCCTTTATGAATTATGAAGCCTTTATGTGCTTTATGTATTTGTTTTGATTACATAAATGCTTAATAAGTCACAAAAGGTGACGTTAGCTGATGAAGATTATCTCAGAGAACAAAACGTATAAGATCTCCTAAGCCTGTGTTTACTACAGACCTTATTTTGCAGTTTATCCAAAAACACTCCAAAAAAAACATTACTTTTCCCATAGGCTTTGGCCAACGAGCCATGACGGAGTTAGTGCCTACAAAAAGATGACATTACTATTGCTCCTCTCTATTACTGTCTCACCTCTCTGGCCAAATCTGCCCTTTGTTTCACCACCTTGGCTTGAGCAGCTCTCTCAGCCTCTACCTCTTCCTCCAACTCCTCAATGCGGGCCTGAAATTGAGGGATTTCAGATTTCCTGGTAAGAACACAACAGTTGCAACAGAAATATTCCCTTTTCAACAATGCTATTGAAATACCTGCAGCTCCTTCAGTTTTTTCTGAAGCTGGGCACCCAAGACCTGCTCATCCTCAATCTTGCTGTTGAGTTTGCTCATCTCAAAGTCCTTGCTGATGAGTAAAGGACACATTTTAGCGCTTTCTGTAAAATAATTATTCATTCGATTTTTGTGGGTTGTGATCTTACTTCTTCATTCTCTCCTCCAGCTGCTGCTTGTCATTCTCCAGGTCCATTAGACTCTCCTGGGTCAACTTCAAGTCTCCCTCCAGCTTTCTCTTGGCTCTCTCAAGGCCCATTCTCACCTTCTTCTCTTGCTCCAGAGACCCTTCAAGCTGATAAAATATGTATAAAACAATATTCGGAGTAACCAATTTACTGTAGCCTATTTTTAGGATATAACACATTTTGTTGTAATTTTTATGAATTCCTATTTGATACTCACATCATCAACTTGCTGTTCCAGTTTGGCTTTGGTCAGCGTGTTGACTTTGTCCTCCTCACTCTGCAGGTCATCCAGCGTTTGCTGATGAGCCTCCTGCAGAGCCTTCTTCTCCTTGGTCAGCTGGCAATGATATGTGCTGGATTGTGCTCTTGATCCTCACATCTCTCTTCAGCATCACCAATAGTGTCTTCTTGCTGTCAATGTGTCAATATATTGTAAGTATATACAATTCTCCAAAGTTCCGAAGTTTGTTTGGTGGAAAAATATTTGGACACTACAAATGATCGAAAAATGCTCCACTGATTGTATGTATCTATGTCACAAGAATTTCTATCTCAATGTTCAAACTGAACTATTTTATAACTCCATCTGTATCCTAGAGGTTGTAAGGCTCTAGTTATGAAAACAGACAGAATCCCAGCATACAATGATCAGTTCTTTATTCAGAGAGCGCTCTGCCCCCAAAGTGCAGAGCAAGTCCTTTTATTCACACACACAAATTCTTATCATAGGCTACTCCCTGCTTAGACAGGCTGTATTTTTCCATTAGGCCTCTACATGGTTATATCGTCTACAAGTCTCTCGCTTCCCCTCCCTAGGTGGGGACATCTGGTTTCCCATCCGACCCCTGCATGTATAGCTGCAAAAGACCACAATGTCCTATTTCTAAGTCTAACTAAGCTACACACATCATCAGATTATAGTCTTATGATTCTAACACATTTCACACAGTTATACAGTTTCGGGGTGGAATACTTTAGTCATTACTTTAAACATTTAAAATCTTCTATCAATCCACCCTTTGACTAAATAATACACACATACAATAAATGTATTTCTTGATAAAATACATCATATTAAATCATATCATGCTAACAAACTCTACTTCCAATCATAACTCTTCTTGTTAGGATTTTCGTTATGATCTTAATTGAAAGGATAGCATACTAAACATTAAAAATGGTCTCATTCAATGCAGGTTCATCAGGATTAAAATCTTCTGCATCATCAACCAAAACTGGAGGCATGTATCGTTCATCCCATTGGTCTGAATTCGGGAGCGGACTGTATCTCACCATCTGCTGGGACACAGCTTTCAGAGTCCTAGAAACAAGACCTCTCACACAAGGGATTAGACAACATCCACAGAGTACCAACATTCCCATGCAGGCTATAGCCACCCCCAGAACAGAGGCCACAAAAATTTTCTAACTAAGCTACACACATCATTAGATTATATTCTTATGATTCTAACACATTTCACACAGTTATACAGTTTCGGGGTGGAATACTTTAGTCATTACTTTAAACATTTAAATGCTTCTATCAATCTATTTAGCAAATCATGTCTCTTTTCTCTCTGTTTTTCCATCTCTCTTGTTAGCTCTAAGCTAAAAGCTAACTAGAAAGGCCATTTGGACCAAAGATGTGACAGCAGCAAAGTAACTGTAGTGCAGTTAAAGTTACTCACAGTTTGGACAGCGAGCTGCAGGTCATTCTTCTCTTGGAGAAGGGACACCATCTTTTCTTCCAGCTCCTTTTTACGAGCTTCAGATTTAGCATAAGCCTCTTTAAGCTTCAGGAATTCTTCCTTCATGTTGGCCATCTCCTTATCAGTCTTTGCTGACTTCAGCAGAGGTTTGATCTTGAAGTACAGCTTCATCCAGGGCCAATTCTTGACACCCATGAAGGCACAAATGTTCCATTGGATCACAAGCAAGGCATCCCTGTGAAATTGAATAGAATTAGCTTTTTACACAACCTTTTCCACCTTCACCATATTGCCTGAAGAAGTTTGATCTATTCTTATTCCATCCTGCGTTCAACTATTTTCTGGAACTCAATTCTGGCAAGTAGACCACGTGATCAGGCCTGGAGGCCAGTGATGATAAGAGCCAGATGATTGTTTCTCATCTCCTCAAGGGTAACCAGGAGACCAGCCTTGAAGAACACCTAAAGATACACAAAGGCCATAATGTGGTGCTTGGCTCGTCGTGTATTTGGTAGGATTGCATTTTTCTTCCAGTTGACCATAAATAACTTTAATGTGGTATCCCCCAGATAAAAAATAAACTTGGCAGTCATGTTTAGATTGCTGATGTCTAGCCTCTGTAGGAAAATGGCACAAATTGACCACAGGGTGGCCCTGTAATGAGCAATTGATTTTACAACTTCAGACCCAGCATGTTAACCAAGAGTTACACAATTTGGCAAGGTCTGTAAAAGCATGTACAGAACATATGGCCAAAATGCTTTTAAGTATCTATCATTCCAGTGTTAATACTAATTGGAATTATTTTGCACTATGGCCTATTTATTGCCTTACCTCCATAACTTGCTACATTTGCACACACTGTATATATATTTTCTGTTGTATTTATGACTTTATGTTTTGTTTTACCCCATATGTAACTCTGTGGTGTTGTTTTTATCGCACTGCTTTGCTTTATCTTGGCCAGGTCGCAGTTATAAATGAGAACTTGTTCTCAACTGGCTTACATGGTTAAATAAAGGTGAAATAAAAATAAATAAAGTAGCCAGATCTGGATGTACTACATGGTGGCGCTATACCAAGTACACATTTGTATCTCTTGACTTGACCCATTTGCCCTAAAGACAGATGATATGTAGTAAGCATGTTCAGTGGTATATCAGCAGTTATTTCAAGAGGCATTGCTCAGGTTGACCTGATCGTGGTTGTCACGTACGTTGAAGGACGGGACAGAACAAGGCGCAGCGTGATATACGTACATGTTTATTAAACCAATAAACACTCGACAAAACAATAAAAACGAAACGTGAAGTCCAAGGTAGCACACACAACATACCTCACAAGGAACAAGATCCCACAACTAGACAGTGCCAATAGGCTGCTAAAGTATGGTCCCCAATCAGAGACAACGAGCGACAGCTGCCTCTGATTGGGAAACCACACCGGCCAACATAGATCCACACATACTAGAATACAACATAGAAAACGCACAACAAAGAATATGCACACCCTGACTCAACTTATAAGCGTCCCCTGAGTCAGGGCGTGACAGTGGTGTTTTGGTAATATACTGCTTGGACCTGGTAATTGCTGCTGTTTTTCCATCCTGGTCCAACAGGTCTTATTGCTTTTCATCTATTTAAATAATTGACCTTAGTGTGTTATAATCTGTAATGGGTGTGGTCAATGTCCAGAGAGCCCAGGAGTTTTTCAGCTGCCTTCATGTTGTCCATGAACTGGCCATCAGGGGTAGCATTTGGATTGAAGATGTGGTATCTTAACAAAAATTTAAATAAAAAAAAATGCATGATTTCTACCTTTGTTTGAAGTCAGCATACAGGATCCTGTTGTGGAAACCCTTTCTGCAGATCCTGATGCCTTCCAGCACACTGTTACAGTGCAGCTGGTGCATGACCAGAGGATTCTCCATGGCCCCAAATCAAATACAAATCACATTTTATTTGTCACATACACGTGTTTAGCAGATATTATTGCGGGTGTAGCGAAATGCTTGTGCTTCTAGCTCTGACAGTGCAGTAATATCTAACAAGTAATATCTAACAATTTCACAACATATACCCAATACACACAATCTAAGTAAGGAATAGAATTAAGAATATATACATATATGGACGAGCAGTGACAGAGCGGCATGGAGTAAGATACAGTAGAATATTATAGAATACAGTATATACATATGAGATGAGTAATGCAAGATATGTAAAAAATATTAAAATGACTAGTGTTCAATTTCTTAAACTGGCGAGTGATTTCTAGTCTATGACTATAGGCAGCAGCCTCTAATGTGCTAGTGATGGCAGGAGTCTTGTTCTCGTTGGGGATGAGGCAACGCACAAAGTGGGGGTGAGTAGACCTCAAATTGGTCATGAGTTTACCCAAGTTCTCCTGTGAGTATGACAAATGTAGAATTTTCCATCAGGGAATGAGTCTCCAAGTACCTCACGATTCACCACAGCATTTAATGCGAACATGCCAATCCAGCACATACTGGCATCTCAAATATAGTGCAAATATAATACATTTGTTAATAATCTTCCATGTGAAAACATCTGAAATATATTGATATAAGCTCAGATTTACCCTGTGCAATGCAGACACAGTCTGGAAGGAAGAGCCTTTCTTCTTTTTTCCTCCAGCTGCTTTTTCTTCAGGTGCTGTTTGATAATGAAATAACAATTCAAATATACTAATATTACTACTATCATGGCGATTGTTATTTATTTTAGTGGTTTGTAGTCTTTACAGATAGAAACACATAGTACCTCCTTCTGCACCAGCATAGCCCACAAAGAGGTTGGCCAGGAACTTAAGACCTGACTTCTGGAACAGTCCGACCACAGTCTCATTCAGGGGGTCCTCGTTCTTCACCAGCCAGTTACCAATGTTGTAGTCAACAATGCCAGCATAGTGAACCAGGGAATAATGTGCCTCTGGTCTACCCTTAACAATCCTAGGCTTCTGGAAGCATGCATTTTTGCAGAGATGCGTATCATACAGCTTAGCTTTGAATGTAGAATCACTGGCCTTGGGGAACATGCACTCCTCTTCAAGGATGGACATGATACCCATGGGCTAGTGGAAGGAATATATTAAAATAAATTAGTGCTAAGGGAAAAGCATAGTGAATAAATATCAGAATAATTTCTGGTTGAAGCACATTTATAAAGATTGCTCTTGTAATGTTTGAAATCTCAAAGAATACTCTGTACACATCATATAAACTACTGCACAACTGAAGACACCAACCCTTTCAATGAGGTCAATGCAGGCAGCCAAGTCCATGCCAATGTCAATGAACTCCCAGACGATGCCCTCTTTCTTATACTCTTCCTGCTCCAGCACAAACATGTGGTGGTTGAAGAACTGCTGCAGCTTCTCATTAGTGAAGTTGATGCACAGCTGCTTAAAGGTGTTGAACTGGAAGGGAAGTTCACAGGTACTTTAATTTGTCAGCTGTGATGTTTTAGATTATTTGTTTCATGATGTGTCCTTTTTTAAAACAAATTTACATCAAACACTCATATCAAAGATCTCAAAGCCAGCAATGTCCAGCACACAAATGAAGAGCTGGCGAGCATTCTTGGTGTCCAGAGAAAGGTTGATTCTTATCACCATCCAGAGGAACATGTTCTCGTAAATGTTCTTTGAACGTGCACCAATAGAGTAGTACACCTACAAAATATTGAGAAAATAAATTACCAAAACATAGCCTCAACAGAAATGCATAGGGACAGTTTCCTAGACACAGATCGGACATAGTCCTGGCCTAAAAAGCATGTTCAATGGGGAATCACAGGCATGAAAATATTAGCAACTCTATACAGAAGTTTTATGTTCACATTTCTTTTAAAGAGTCACCTGGTTGACACTCTGACCTTTGGTGACCCACTCATTTCCTACTTTGACCCTTGGGTGACACAGCCCCTTGATTAGGTCAGCAGAGTTCAGGCTCATCAGATATACGACTTTGTCGACATCTAGAAAGGGAAAGTTTTATGATTGGAAGAGGCATGCTAACTAATTTAGGATTTTTCAGATTCAACTGTATATTGAAGTGAGAGGTTTTAAATCCTCAGCACTCACCCTCAGTGCCATCTGCCTCTGCTTGCTCCTCCCGCTGCTTATTCTTGAACTTCGGGTTGCCGTAGTGCATGATGGCACCAGTCAGCTTATAAATGCCATTCTTCTCCTCTTGGGAGAAGCCCAGCACATCAAAGGCAACCTAGTTCCAAAAAGGCCATTGTTTTGTATTGGAGAAAGAGTTGGATACAAGTGGAAAATTATCGTATGTACAGTATGTATATACCGTATTTTCCGCACTATAAGGCGCACCGGAGTATAAGCCGCAGCAGCTAAATTGAATGATGTGTACATATATAAGCCGCACTGGACTATAAGCCGCAGGTGTTTTAATGTTTAATTACCATATGTAAGGGTTCGTGCACAGAGGGGATTGTCGGGAAAGAGACAAACTGTCTCGCTCTCGTAATGTCTGTCTGTCTTGCTCTCGTTCTGTCTCTCGTTCTGTCTCTCGTACCACTCTCGGTTCCACTTTTACTTTTGCGCGCTACCTGTCTCACTCTTTTCCGGCCTCCAGCTTTTCCTGCTGGAGCCCGCCGCTTAAAGGTGGGAGGCGCGGACCGGTCATAGAGCCCATAGAGTTAAAGTTGGTGGACTGTAACCTGTAAAATCCATAGATTTAGGAGGTCTTCTAGTGGCCGTTAGCTGTAAAAATCCATAGATTAGCCGCACCGTTATATAAGCCGCAGGGTCGAAAAATTGGAAAAAAAGGCGCGGCTTATAGTCCGAAAATTACGGTATTTTACTCACATCAGTAGCCATTAGCTCATCTGCATCATTAATGGAAGTTACAGCAATCTCTCCTTGGGAGATGAAGGCATAGTCATAGGGATAGCTGGTGATAAGTAACATCTCTGAAAATAATTGAACAGCACAGTTTAATTTGTGTTTGGGCTGTGGTATAGGTCATAACATAAACAGTTATTTATAAATAGACAGGACGGCAAATTAGTCCTGATCATGTTTTGAAAATGTGGAGATTGTTTTGTGTGCAATGGATCTCAGTGTGGCATTTAAATAATTGCAACTTTATCATGGACAAACTTAGCCTTACGTAAGGCTTTACTTTGGAATGTGTCTCAAAGGAAATGTTACGACATAAATCACTCTATATTGTGTTGTGTGGTTTACGGTGGGGGATGGGGGTAGCACACTGCCTGGGCTGGCTGCACTGCATCATCAGAATTGAATTGGAAACTACAAAAGTTTCATTCAGAATTAACCGCAACCCAATCAGTTCGATGTTTCAATACTCACCCAGCAGTTCTGGTTTCTGTTGGGACAGGATCTGGTAGAAGATGTGATAGTCTCTCTCAGCCTTGAGCTGGAAAGTTACACGTGACTTCTCCAGAAGATCTGAGAAGTATGGAAAAGTTGTTTTGGTATTAATGTGTTCCCTGTCAAATAGATCTGTTCAATGCTGAGCAAATTGAGTATTGTACTCACAAGTCTCAATGTCAGCAGACGAAAGCTTCCCACTGACTCCAAAATGAATTCGGATGAATTGACCCTGTAAGGTATTGTCAAAGCAGAAATTAATGAGCACCCCAGTGGTGGCCGGTGCCGTTTAAGATGAGGGAGGAGAATTTTAAAATATATATATATATATATTATGAGCATGGCCTTATTTCTATTACAGCATTATGGATGACTGTCATTCATATTCTATTCACCCAGTTCAATGTAACAGCAATAGGTTTAGGCTACTACATGATACTCAAATTTTCCCTATACCCATCATGAGGTTGTTACAACCTAGCCTATGAATGGAAGTTTACAACGTAGGTGTACACAGGTGGAGAGAAAACTTAGAGGTGACACGGACAGACAGTGAGTGACACATTCAATAATGCCTTGCACACTCTTGCCTGCATCTAGCTGATCTAGGGTGTAATCATTAGTCCAACAGTTGCAAACGAGAGTTTATATTCGACAAATTCAGGTATGTTTATCCCCATTTCGTTTGCTTCTGTTTTAGAAATGTTTTTCAACAGAATCGGGGGAATGAATACACCCCTGTTCAAGCGTAAACACAGTTCACTTTTATAGCAGCCACTTTGTATTCCTTCTCGCATCTATGCGCTCTCCTCCTCTCACCTTTCCCATTCGCAATGCACAACACATCAGCAGTATGTGACCAAGGCGGAAAAAAAATCCAAGCCAAACCATATCATAACTGCTACACACAGCCTACATTGTTGTCACCATATTAGCTAAAGTAAAGTCATAGTCAACATAGGTAATAGAACTAACGCGTTAGTAAACCAGCTACAATCATGCAGTAACATTACAGTCAGTAAGCAGTTTAGCACTTACACCGGTGGGCCCCGGTGGCAATACATTTGTAAAACAAAAAGCTTACCTTGACTTGGAAGAGTTCCAGTGTTGTGTTGGATAGTCATAGCCAGCTAGCTAACATAGCATCCCTCTGTTCGAGCAGGGTGTTTGAGTAGGTTAAACTAGCTATCTGTATTTGCTAGCTAAGTAAGTGAAACTGAAAGTGAAGAAAAAATTATGAAATCTCTCTCTCTCTCTCTCGCTCTCGCTTCTCCTTCATTTTGGAAGAAATTAATTTGTTCAAAACTGTTCAACTTTTGTCTTGCTCTCTCTTTGAGTCAACTACTCACCACATTTTATGCACTGCAGTGCTAGCTAGCTGTATCTTATGCTTTCAGTACATTCTCCGATCCTTTGATTGGGTGGACAATATGTCACTTCATGCTGCAAAAGCTCTGATTGTTTGGAGGACATCGTCCGGAAGTTGTTATAATTACTGTGTAAGTCTATGGAAGGGTGTGAGAACCATGAGCCTCCTAGGTATTGTATTGAAGTCAATGTACCCAGAGGAGGACGGAAGCTAGCTGTCCTCCGGCTACACCATGGTGCGACCCTACAGAGTGCTATTGAGGCTACTGTGGACCTTAATCAATTATTTGGTGATGTGAATATATTTAATATAGTTTTATCTAAAAAGGATAACTTTTTTAATGTTTTACAATTTGTATTTTTATGAAATTCACTGAAGAAGATGGTCCTCCCCTTCCTCCTCTGAAGAGCTGTCATGCCCTGACTCTGGGGACTCGTATATGTTGAGTCAGGGTGTGTATGTTCTATGTCGTGCATTTCTATGTTGGGTTTCTATTATGTGTAGATCTATGTTGGCCGGTGTGGTTCCCAATCAGAGGCAGCTGTAGCTTGTTGTCTCTGATTGGGGACAATACTTAGGCAGCCTATTGGCACTAGTGGGTGGTTTGATCTTGTTCCGTGTTAGGTATGTAGTTTGTGTACCTTGGACTTCACGTTTCGTTAGTTGTTTTGTTGTTGTGTATTCGTGTCAAATAAACATGTATGCATATCACGCTGCGCCTTGGTCTGACCCGTTCCTTAACGAACGTGACAAGAGCCTCCACTGGAGCACCCAAGATCTGGGTCCAATAAGTATTTGTTTTCTTTTTGAATACCTTAGGTGTGCTTGATTGAGCTCGTATAGTGTAATGGAACCATATCTGTTAGGCTCAATCAGGCACTGAAAGTATTATAAATAAAACAAATACTTTCTAAACCCAGTTATTTTGCACACATACTCCCAAAGGGAAGATTAGCTGATGGACCTGAGAAAGAATAGCTGACGTCATGAGTGACAACTTTTCATTGAGGAAAAATGTACAACGACTGTGATATGTGGTTGTCTCACCTAGCTATCTTAAGATAAATGCACTAACTGTAAGTCGCTCTAAATAAGAGTGTCTACTAAATAACTACAATGTAAAATGTAATGACATCAACTAATAGGGATCCTAATAAAATGCAGATCCTAATACAATTCTAATACTGAAGTTAACAGATAAGATTAACCTTTATGATAAGATTTGAATGATATTTGACTGCAAACAAAGACAAAACTTACGAATCGGGAGGAGTTGTCATTCCTGATGGTCTTGGCTGTCACTAGCTGAGGTTAATGTGGTGCGGGAGTCAGGCGCAGGACACCGAAGCTTAGTCCAACAACGTTTACTAGTGCAAAAACCCAAGCACAAATACAATGAACGGCCTCAAACACAAACAGAGGCGAACGATTACGCAGACTGTGCGTAAACTAACAAAACAATAGACAGAAAGAACACGCAGCACTAACGGACAGGCGAAATAACAACACACAACCTAACCAATACAAAACAGGAAACTTATAGAACACATAATCAGACACAAACGGACACAGGTGCAATGGACAGACAAAAGCAATCAAACATAGAAACATTCAACGGTGGCAGCTAGTACTCCGGGGACGACGAACGCCGAACCCTGCCCGAACAAGGAGGAGGAGCAGCCTCGGCCGAAACCGTGACATTGGCATTACCAAAAGCCTCCAGGGCAGGATTGGCCTGGATGATTTGATCTTCCAGGGTCCCCTATAAACCAACAACCATACAGTGTTAAAATGCTGCAATGAAAATCAATACTCTATGAACAAAAATTACATTTTGTCAACATATGCTCATCCAGCCATGAAGAATGTTTAATTTAGGATCGATAATAATGAACATTTGCATTCTATTTGACCTTTTTTTCTTCTGCTGCACTTTTCTTTCCACTAACAGCAGCAATGCTGGCGAAGTACTGGATGACTCTCTTGGTGTTAACAGTCTTTCCAGCACCGGATTCTCCACTGGGATTGAAAATACAAATGTTGACGTATCAGAATTCCTCTTGATTTGAAATAGTCTCAAATGGATATAAACTTTGGTTGATGTACTTACGTGATAAGGACAGACTGATTTTCCCTGTCTGTTGAAATAGAAGTATCAGTAAATGTGACATTATCCAAATATCATTTGATTTCTGTAGATGAAAAGGAAAAGTGATATTTTACCTGACAACAAGTACTGGTAGGCATTGTCAGAGATAGAGAATATGTGAGGAGGAGCTTCTGTCCTCTTCTTGCCTCTGTATGCATTGACAACAGACTGATCATACACTGGCAGCCACTTGTATAGGTTGACAGTAACACAGAACGGCCCTGAGTAGGTCTGTGGAAGACGAGGGAGTTTGATTTAATGGAGATATCAGCAGGCAGGTCATTACTTTTGTAGATCATCCAGGCTGCGTAACGCTCTTTGAGGTCAAACAGTACAGGGGGCTCGTGCAGGAAGGCGAACATCACCATGTCCTCAATTTTAACGAACTTTGGCAGGTTCTGAGCGTGGACGTCGTCCTCCTTCACAGTAATAGTCGGAAAGAAGAGCAAATAAAAAAAATGTGTATAATTTTCAAGGTGCAGAGGTATTCACTTTGAGACCAATCTTAATGTGAGATTGCACACAATGTTGAATTTTAACAAATCAACTATTTACAGGTAATGCCAGATTTGCATGAAAGTTAAAGATCTCAAGTTAGGATTCTGCTCTTTGTTGTCTCTTGTTAGAAGGATTATAATAGTAAACAGTAAAGCGTATAACTCAATTTAGTTTATAAATAATTGTTATCCTTGTATAAACATCTAGTCTGGCATTCCATACGCTCCTTGTCTGACTTGCGCAGATAGGAAGCTGCAGCGCCAAACTCTGCCATCAAACTGTCCCCCATTCTTAAATCTGTACTGAACAGAGCATTTAATACATACTTATGTACATCATTTACACACAGTGCCAGGTTTGAGTTAATGCCACCCCAAACTCTGCCATCAACACGTCCCCCATTCTTAAATCTGTGGATCAGAACATTGAATACATCCATGTACATATTACACAAAGTATCAGGTTTGAGATGCATGGGCATTTGACATTTTTTGACTGTTCGAGTACTCTTATTATTATTTGTTTGAGTATTCGAGTACCCGAAAATGCGCCATATACACTGAGTTTAAAAAACATTATGAACTGCTTTTTCCATGACATAGACTGACCAGGTGAATCCAGGTGAAAGCTATGATCCCTTGTTGATGTCACTTGTTAAATCCACTTCAATCCGTGTAGATGAAGGGGAGGAGACAGGTTAAAGAAGGATTTTTAAGCCAATTGAGACATGGATTGTGTATGTGTGCCATTCAGAGGGTGAATGGGCAAGACAAAAGGTTTAAGTGCCTTTGAACGGGGTATGGTAGTAAAAGATTTAAATGCCTTTGAACGGGGTATGGTAGTAAAAATACATGAGTCAAAGCAGAACACCAGTAGGCTACCAGATTTAGAGTCATAGATTAATAAGAGTTTATCTGAACAATATAAAGGTCAGTAAACCGAAAGAACATTGAAAATAAACCAAAACGTGAGGTTCACAGCAGACCAAAAGTTTCTGGGTCCACTGTAGCTGAAATCTACAGCTTGTGATAGTGACGACACCGACAACATAATATTTACATGTAATTACTATATAGGAAAGAGGTGTTATGCAACATAAACAAGTTGACTAGATTAATGAGTACAGACAAGAAAATAAAACACATTAGTATACACATTTGGCAAGTTGTTAAAGTTTTCATGAAACGCATTTAAAGACTTCACGCAAACCACTAGGAGGCGTGTTGTAGAAGCTTTATTTTAGAAGATTATGTTTCTTACCCGTTGTTGGTCACCCCTTGGATACATTTGGTAGAAAGAATCTCTACTGAAAATGAAACTGACATACCAATACCAATATCAGTCAACTGACCAGCTATGTGTGGTTATGACTATTGTTAGGTCCTGTAATGATTATCTTTGCCATCCTCAGCAGACTGCCTCTATATGCTTACCTTCAGGATGTCCGGTGCCTTGTGTCTCCCCCTGGTCTGTCTCCCCCTGGTCTCCATCACTCTTTATAAAGAGAGTTGCTCAGCCCTATATGGAGATGGACCATTTATTGTAATAAATTAGTCCAATTATTTTAGAAGATCTGTATTTGGAAGTAGAGGTGTGTACCTCAGACCTATCAGCCTTGTTGTAACAACAGGCTATCGATGAGGACGGCGGGGAGCAAAAACCCAGGGTGCATTTAGAGCATCACCCTTTGCTATAACTCCTTTTTGGAGTGTCACTTTATGAGATGGCTATATGACGACATTTTGAAAAGTTTGAGCCCTTTTTAGCACCCTGCTTTATAGGTCAGTTTCCAACAAATATCAATCTTGTATGTTTAATAATATAATAATATGCCATTTAGCAGACACTTTTATCCACATTTACATTTACATTTTAGTCATTTAGCAGACGCTCTTATCCAGAGCGACTTACAGTTAGTGAATACATATTTATTTATACTGGCCCCCCGTGGGAATCGAACCCACAACCCTGGCGTTGCAAACGCCATGCTCTATCAACTGAGCTATATCCCTGCCGGCCATTCCCTCCCCTGCCCTGGACGACGCTGGGCCAATCGTGTGCCGCCCATGAGTCTCCCGGTCACGGCCAGCTGCGACAGAGCCTGGATTCGAACCAGGATCTCTAGTGGCACAGTTAGCACTGCGATGCAGTGCCTTAGACCACTGCGCCACTCAGGAGACAAAAGCGACTTACAGTCATACATTTTTTTTTTTTTTTTTTTTTGTATGGGTGGTCCCGGGGATTGAACCCACTACCTTGGCGTTACAAGCGCCGTGCTCTACCAGCTGAGCTACATTGGAAATCCCTTGAATTGAGTATGTTTGTGCAATATCTGTCAGCCTATAAGAAGGAGTTCTCGTGATATAGTGAATCCATAAATAGTGCAGTACATTCTTTATACATGAGAAAGTCTTCTCGCATGGTGTGAAATCATTGAAAGACAACTGCAGCTGTCCTCAGTTGTTCACCAAGGCAAGGTCACTTTCCTTTCCATTGTCACCAAAAGTCCCAGCTACTGTACGCATAACCCTAGGCCACATCTTGTTGACGTGGCATTGTCTCCCTTTTATCCTTGAGGACAAAGATAAACCTGTGAAATTGTTATTGGATTCCTTCAACTGATCATGGGGCACTTCAATGTGCTTGAATGTCTGAGCCTCACCATCTGACATTGTACTAGCTGCACCCTTCTCACATAAATAATTCCAGGCCACAAATGGAAGAACACTTGTCACCTTCCTCAAGCAACTAATTTTAGTCTTTTAAGAAGGGGGAATCCATTTACCTTATGAGTTGTTAAGAAAACTTACACCCAGGCGCATCATGCCTGAGTTGGAAATGTAGAAGATGTTGTTTATTTTACCCATAATTAATTCAAAGATATCCAATTCACTATCAGTGCTCCTTCAAAAATAAAAATGGGTGCATGACGCTTGTATTCGTCCGGCATGTTAGATATTGGTAACACTTTCACTTTCAAAGACAATATCATATTGAAACCTCGGTGAAAAGCCTTTTATCATTGTTTTTACCTCATATTTATTAGCGTCCTCTGTGTAAAGTTTGCATCAACTCAGTCTTAGTATATTGAATTCACAAAAAAACCATGCATAGCCCCTGTGTATTTCTCCATTGGAATGAGAGAACATCTGATAAGGTGATACAGAGACAAGGGGCATGAGGTCTTGGATTTGTAAGTGTCACACTGTTAAAGATCAAGATATCTGTCAGGGCGCTGTTAACAAGGTGATGATGTACTGGTGACATAGCTGGAAAGAGTGTTACCTCCTTCAAGACCTGTGCATATGACCCCTGTATAGTATACTGTATATTGGAGCCATTTTGATTCCTACAGCTTCACACCTTGCACCTCGCTTCAGCCTTTAGGTTCTGGAATTAGCTTCCAAAGCTGAACATACCATCCCCTTCAATTAAAGGTACCCATTCACCTTAACCTATTCACCTGTCATCCTTTGTCACCATAGATTGACAGACTGCCAGGCCATCTCCACTGCTCCCCCAGGCTAAGACCATATCTTCCCTCACCAAGGCACGTGGGCTCCCTGACAGGGGGTGAAAGAAAGATGTAGGCTAGGTTAGTGATGCAGGAGTAGCCTCCACAAATCTTCCTCTAGCAACAGAATCAGCACTGACCAAGGTCAGTGACATTATCTTTAACTCCTACTGATTTGTCAGCATGCAGTATTCAATGTGCAGGTGCAAGGATATGATCTTTAAAGAAATTAGTGTGGGTATTATTAACATTTAGCAAATTAGTGAGTCTCATGGTCTGTATCTGTAAGAATGAGAGAATAGCATTGATTTTACGGAGTAGATCATTTTTGGTGTAGATAATTTGTTGTGAGCTCTGATAACTTACCAGATGTGGCAGGAGAAGCCAGTACAGAGGTGGGGAATGGTACAGCTTATTTTCTACCTTGCCCAAGTGGACAATGTGGGAAATACAGGGAGAACATTCTGAGTTAGCAGCCCATGGGGTCATGTAACACTCCCTGTAGTTTCACCCTTGCTGTCGGACGTGTAGCACAGAATAAATATTAGCTTGTTGTTTCTTAATGTATTAGTCCATTTTTTTAAAATAGATATATTTTTTTTTATTAAAGGTAAGTATAACGTTATTATTAAACAAACTAATTGGTCAAGGAAACTTTTGCCGTTCACATTTGTTCACCATTTTCATAATCAATAACGCAAGTTATTGAATACAATTAATTGAGAAGTTAAAAGCAGAGAAAGCCAAGAAATTCAAACAAGCGACACAGCTCTTCACCCATGCACTACCAAGGTTTTCCAGGACACAGCTTTGACACTTGCTACATTACAGTACATTAAAGGTTCGAAGTACTGCTGGTTACTGCTGATAACCCAGGTCTAATGCTGCATTCACAACATCTCGTGATTTTGTAAATACCAACATACGACTGGGAAAAATCCACTTGAACACCCCCTCAACTGGTAATTACTGGTGGGAAACTCATCTATCATCCTTATGCTCAGAGTTTCCCGCTTGAATGTCTCTGACGTCATTTGTCAACAAAAATTATACAAGCTGGGTGGTATCTTCAGCAGTTGTTGTTCATGGTAAGAACAAAATACAAATTGTTGATACAAAATTAATTCTGTTCATCTTCCTTTTAATGTAGAAAGTGAAAGCAGCACTGGATATACTTTTTATGGGCAAAATAAGAGCAAAACAATCACAAGCCTTCTAATGACCTCCATGTTTGATGGTATTTCCCAGTTCAAAACGTGAATGCACCCAACTCGTATTTCAGACTTCACAACAACTGTTAATCACCACATTCCTACTTGGTTATGAATGCAGCATTAATCAGTCCCTGATTAGAGGGGAAGAATGAAAAAAAGTTGTGGAACTGCCTTTGAGGTCCAGATTTGAATTTGAGGGTACTCTTCTACAAAAAGAAAAAAATATTGAATGAAAATATGTTTAAGAAAAAATATTTTATTGTTATGAGCAGTGTAGGCCTTTATGATTTGCGTCTAATTAATTGAACCTTAATTGATTAAGTAACTCAACAGGGCAGGTCTTTTGCAATTAAGTTGGCTTCATTAGTTACCTGCAGAATTCAGAAATCACTGTCCCCAACTATACTTTCCTTAGGAGTTGTAACATGCTGATAGAAACTGTGCTCAGAGCTTGTAGCCTGGTGAAACCAGCCTGATTGCTACTTTCAACAAATATAATGGTGAACACAGCGATCAGGCTGGTTCCACCAGGCTAGAGTGCTTGGCCCCTCTTTCTAAAGTGCACTGTTGTCAGTTTTAGGCCGGGATTCAATCCGATCACAGATTGACGACAATGCAGCTTTTGAAGCCAACGTTCCCTCATTCGCAGAGATCGCATTCACCGTAAATGCTGCAGATGAGGGAGCCTTACCCCCAATCTATCTCGTTAATGCTGATGCCAAGCAAAGACCTATCGGGTCCCATTTTTACAGTCTTTAGTATGACTCAGCAGGGGATTGAACTCCCAACCTTCCAATCTCAGGGCGGACACTGTAATCACAAGGCTACTGAATTGTGATTTGAATTGTAATCTAAATATGTGTAGGAGGTGCTGAAAATCAAACAATACCCCATAATGACAAAGTGAAAACATGTTTTTAGAAATGTTAGCAATTTATTGAAAATGAAATACAGAAATATCTCATTTACATAAGTATTCACACCCCTGAGTCAAACAGTTGGCGAAACAGTTGGCCATGAAATGAACTTTATGTCCTGAATACAAGCGTTATGTTTGGGGCAAATCCAACACAACACATCACTGAGTACCACTCTTCATATTTACATGTTAGAATACATGTTAGAATCACCTTTGGCAGTGATTACAGCTCTGAGTCTTTCTGGCTAAGTCTCTAAGAGCTTTGTACACCTGGATTGTACAATATTTGCACATAATTCTTTACAAAATGATTCAAGCCCTGTCAAGTTGGTTGTTGATCATTACTAGACAGCAATACCCAAAACATGATGCAGCCACCACCATGCTTGAAAATATGAAGAGTGGTACTCAGTGATGTGTTGTGTTGGATTTGCCCCAAACATAACGCTTGTATTCAGGACATAAAGTTCATTTCATGGCCAACTGTTTCGCAGTTTTCCTTTAGTGCCTTATTGCAAACAGGATGCATTATTATGTACAGGCTTCCTTCTTTTCACCCTGTCAATTAGGTTAGTATTGTGGAGTAACTACATCCTCAGTTTTCTCTTATTACAGCCATTAAACTCTGTAACTGAATATTGAAACAATGTTGCAAATGTCAGAGACAGACAGCAAGGTTTATACAAATCTCCATTGAACGCTAAATGTTAGTCTAAAAGAAATGTGAGATAATGTCTAGATGCTTTTTAGAGTGAAGATCAAGTTTATAAATTGCTTGGCTGGGCTGATGAGACAGAGGATTGCACAGTCAGATGGAACAGAGTAAATAGGCATTTTAACATC